GCCTTCACGTTGCAAATCAACTCCTGATCCATGGGCTGGATTAACGATGTAGTGTTAGCGGGAAGGAAGACCACATTTACGTTGGGGTGACGATCCAGCAAAAGGAGCGAGTGTCCTGGTGCGTTGTCGAGAAGCAACAAAATGTTGAATGGCACATTATTTTCCACGCAGAATTTTTTGATATCAGGAACGAGACAGTTGTCAAACCAGGTGAAGGACAGACCAGAGAACATCCACGCCTTCTCTGAGGTTAGCCAGTGAACATTTAACTTGCTCATGTCCATATTCTTGTAGGCATGCGGCTTGCGGGCATTGTGGATCACAGACAACTTCAGCTTAGCAGTACCGGAGGCATTGGTGGTGAACAGTATGGTGATGAGCTCCTTCTGCATTTTGCGTCCCCGACACTTGCTAGCAGACTTGACGACGAAGGTCGTGGATGGCAATTTCTTCCAGTACAATCCTGATTCATCCATATTGAACACTTGGTCGTCGGTGTACTGGCCTTCCTCCATAATTTCCCGTAAAAATGGGGCAAAATTCCTGGCAGCAGCCCGGTCGGCACTTGCTCCTTCTCCGACTAACTCAATATTCGTGATCTTGTTGCGTCGTTTAAAACCTTGCTGCCACCCAGCGGAAGCACTGAAGGGCTTGGGCTCCGCAACCCCCCTTTTTCTTACTACTGCTGTGTAAAGTTCCCGGGCGTAGTCCTGCAGTGCCTGAGTGTCGACCGCCATGCTCCTTCTTGACTGACGAATAATGTAGCTTACCAACAAACTCTAGCTCTTCAGCAGCACCTTATTGTGGCAATATTTCACCAGCGAGGCACCTACAGACTTGGTAATGTTCATGTGTTCATTGATTTTGCCGGCATCCTTCTTGATAGTGCGGATCGTTGATTCATTCACTCCATATTATCTGGCCAGATCCACCTGTCTCGTGCCTTTTTCTAACTCCTGGACAATCTTGTACTTTACCTCATAGCTTAAGGAGCGTCGCACCTTCTTGGGCTTGAGCCAAATAGTTCAGGGCTTCTCGGGGTTGGTGAGGGTCCAGCGGAAGCCATTGTGTAGAAAGAAAAAACAAAACCGGTTCCTGGGCACGAGTGAATATACACGGGGACAGTGAGAATGACGTGGCGGGGGTGGCAAGGATAACTAGACCAATCACAGCACACAGCAGAGGGGGTGCGTGGGTGGTAAGGATACCTGGCCCAATCACAGTCTGCGACGTCACCGGCGAGAGTCTGTCGTCAGCGCCCAGCACCTTGCCCTGCCGCTTGCTGCGTACAGGATATGTCGGCGTACAAGGCCACGGGGTGTATAAGACGACCCCCAAAATTTACATTTAAAACGTAGGTTTTGAGCTATACTGGCTGTATAAGACTACCACAACTCTGACACTTACCACTGGGAGCTTACTGCCCCAGTAGTCCTTTACCAACCATCCCACTGACCAGTGTGATGCTATTAAACACACTACTAAGCAACACATCCTTGTTTTTTTTACAATAAGGCCAATTCACTTCAAGTAATGGCATCAAACATTACTAGCTGGTGTAGTGTAAACACTAGTGACGTCACTTTAGGCATCGGTTATTTTACTGGAACTACAGTAATGTTGGTGCCTAGTAAAATTTTACCATTTACTTGAAACGGATTTACTGATTTATTTGTTTATTTATTTATTTATAATATTCTGTAATATATTAGAAATGTAGGCATAAAATGCACTGCAGGTATTTTCTTTAATTTATAAACTTGCTTGGCGAGACGATCAGTAGGACTGGCTGTTTGTTTACTTCGGCGGCAGTTGCAAATGGCGAGTGGTGTGTTATGATACCTGCATTTATTACGTTGTTATTTTATGGCATGTTAGACAGGTTTATAATACATTTTTATCATTTTAAAGTACTGGTAATCTCATTTTTAATCCAGCTTCCCAAACGTAAGTTTCAGTAGAAAATAATTAGTGGTAGGACCGTGGAATTACGGCGAGTGTTTTACGATGTTTTCCATCACCACTGGTGACACACTAAACCACAGGATTCTAGAGGTTCGGATTTTATACCAGGCCTTTAAGACGACCCCTAAGTTTCCGCTGATTTTTTTGAAGGTTCAAATTCCGTCTTATACGCCGACATAGACATATACGGAATATGATGTCATTTACCGCATAAATAATAATTATCTCTTCTGAACAGGTACTGCGTAAATGGCCTTCCCCGTAAAACCAGATTATACTGTAAAGCAATTTTAACACATGTCAAAGGACATTGTTTGCACAGATATCCGATGTGCGGACGTGTACCAGTACAATATACCCGTATAAAATGAGACCCCACTGTACAGTACAGTAGTGGAAATTAACATGATATATCAGCATGGTTAACATATCCTTCCAAAGAACAGGTCATACTTTTTGTCAAAATACAGACTCACTAGAGGACATTTTATTTTATGGGTCATATAAGTCTCTTTTCTTTCCCCCCATTCCTTAACAGGGGTTTTTAGTTCTTTGTTGATATTCAGGTCTTTTTGTGTTTTATTCCAGTACTACCTGTTATGTCCATGGAAATATACCTGTAAAGTACAGTACTGGGCATAACTACACTCCTATTAATGTAATGAAATTTTGTTCTCCAGGGTGAAATCATCACCGTCTTGCGACGAGTGGATGAGAACTGGGCTGAAGGTAAGCTGGGTTCTCGAATTGGAATATTTCCACTCTCCTTCGTTGACCTTAACAGTGCAGCAAAGGCTCTTATGAAGCTTTCCCTCAAGTGAGTACTGTACAGTAATATACTCTTTGATATGATATAGTATATATTTTTTATGTTTTTTGTTTAAATAACTTTAATGAAATCAGCATTTGCTATACTTTATAAATGTATTAGGTGTGCAAAGAAAATAAATTGCTGAATGTTTTAAATCTTAGACATGTGATTATCTCAATATAATTTTGCTAACATGTTTCTCTAGTTCTTATGCAGTTATACCATTATTAAGGTTGGATTTGTTTCCCAGAGATGGCTAGTAATAGGCTTATTCTTTATATGCATACAGTAGAAACCACTTGGAGTGCAACTTTATACATTATGATTAACTCAGCTGAAACCATTTCATGGAAACAAAAATACATTTTCAAACACTGCAATTGCCAAATACAGTACAGTATTTTGTGAATAACAGTGGGGGACCTCTGAGCTTCTAGCAGTAGAATGCCTTTCAGAGGTTAGTTTTGTATGATTTTTAAATAAAAAATTTAAATTAATATCTAATCTTATAAACATAAAGGAAATTAAATATTGGAAAAGAAAATTGAATAACTGATGCTAAAGTTAATATTTCTTCAGTAAAACTTTGTCATTGTGAAACATGATTTGCATTGATCAACAAATACAGGATCTATTTTTAACATGGACATCTCCTAATCAGTGTGGTTTACACACCAAAACTTTGTGGAGTTGTCCTTTGGTAATACAGGTGGTCTATCAAAAATCCGGCAACCTCGGGACCTGAGGAGTGCCGGATTTTCGAAAATGCCGTA